GGGGGGGGGTTACCTTCTGGTTATCCATTGGAGGGATGACGTTGGCCCGAGCACCGGATGCCAAGGATGATAGGATCAAAGAGAACGCAGTGCAAGAAAGGACGATCGAGCCACGGTAGATTAGAGTGATGAACGAGAGGAGGCATAGGTGGCGTTGGGAGTCCTGCTTTTCTCTACTTTGAAAAATAACCTGACTTTATGAGTACGTGCAAAAAATCCTGGCGCCAACAGTCTGTCGGTCTCGTGCGTCCTGCATCTCTGTCTGTCCGACACTGTCGAGCCAAGGGGAGCAAAAGAAGGAAAGGAGAGCTCCAGGGTAGGAGGGTGCTTTTATTCCCGTGCCAACCTTTCTGAATTTCTCTGTCCACTAGCCTTTTTTTTTTGCTATGATACATATATATATGTATATAACACTCCCTTGCGTCTATAAGGAAATATCCAGACCTCATTCCCATCCCTTGACCCACTCAGCCAAGAGTGGATCTTAACTGAATTCCTAAGAATAACATCCGATCCGAAGATAGAGTTGACGACGTTGCCTGTGCTGCGAATCAATTAGCCAGCGATTCAAAGTTCAAGACGATTTTGGTTAGCCGAATGAGGATCCTGAAAAGCACGGATCTTGACAGGGTCCAGCATTGTCAAGGATACACTGTGAAGGGGGCTTTAGATATTTATGTCTCCGGATTAAGTACATATATAGTATCTGTATGCATATATAAGTACATGAAATATGAATTATAAGGATGGGTTCATGAGAAACAGGAAACAATTAGTCTCCAGAGTATCCAGTGTCCCACCGATAATTTTATTAGAGTTTATAGATTACATATATACTCACTCTGAATCTGATCATCCACCTGGGCCTGTAAGCTGCCGAAGTTCGAGCTGGGTTGATAAGGTTGTCGATCGCGAAAACCACCGCAGGCAAACTGATAAAAATCTTCACAGGGATCGACGCCTCTCTTAAGGAACGCCAGCATCCGTCGGGACGCCTCGTGACAAGCCCTCGTCTCGCAGACGCCTTCCTGTCCATCTCGTTCTCTGATACAAGCCTCGTCCTGTAATAAAAATAGGAATTCACCTCATGACCTTATAACTCGACCATACCTAATTGTTATTCATCTTGGATATCGTCTCGAACTACAGGACAGTCTATTTTCATCGAAGTACCCTGCATCGTAATCTTCCTCATGACCCATCATCTGAGGTCGTTTACTGGTAGCTTGAAAAGCTAACTTGCTCGTAGGAAAGACTGATTGGTCCCACGTGTATATCAAACTTTCCTAGGACGTTCGAACTTTGGTCGAGTATGGCCTATGCTAGTAGATAGGTATGTAGACAGTAGCAGAGCCAACCGGAAGTGTTCTTGCCTTATGTGATCTTTTTATACTTCAGCAATATGTGTATTGGGTTCGAAGCTCGGAGACCGAAAGAATCTACATACACTCGATTTATCACTGACAAATGATATTGATATTTGAATCGATCGACTTTACTGTGCTTCTGTAATCTGCGACAGTGGCGCCACTGGCGAAATTAGCGCGAACTAAAACAAAGGTTAGGATGAAGGACAAGGCCCTGACCCGAAGTAAGGTTGACATTTGCCTCGAAACCTTACCTTCGTAGTATGGCTTCCATTTGCTTGCACGTGTATACTGCAGCTACGCAATCCTCTGTGAGAATACACGTTCTTTAGGGGATGATAACGTAAAGACTACGCCGAGGCAGGATCAGTAATGGGCGCCGCACTAATCTTCTAAGTAGTTACGAAGGTACTAGGGGATTTCAAGTAATTGGTATGATAACCGTTATGCTAAGGAATGGCTAATTTTATGAATATTTTTTATTTCCTTTTTTTTTTATTCAAACGAAACATAACAGTAAAGACTGTGGACCGTGCCGTATTTTATAACGCAGGTGGCCCTGTTAATTGGAGTAAACTTTAATTGATACGAACATTCCTGTACAATTATTTATTATTGGCTAGGGATATAGTTTGCGTGCACACGTATAGGAATTCTGTTATTTAAGAAGGCTGACTTTTGCGATTTTCCCCCTTTCTGTCGTTTTGACGATTCATCTTTTACTAATGGACGGAGTAAATATTTTTCACGTAATAAATTGATGCTACGGTTTTATGTATTCTCGTGCTGCTTCTGTATAAAGCGATTACTATTAATACCTTCGCTCTTCTTTGTTATGCTATATGCTTACTCGGTATACAAGCTTGAATAATACAACGTATTTCAGTGTGTATAAAACACGGCAGTACGTAAACTGTCCAAATACACAATGCAGCAGCCGAACCGGGCGAATTACGAGGTACAATTTCACTTGACTGCAGTCAATATTCCGTGGATGGGTAACGTCTGGTATACTTTTTCATTTTCATCACCATGCTTTGTTAATTTAATATTTCAGTGATCTCCAAGGGTACGTGAATTCTGACAATATAAAACTAAAGGTGGAATAATTACAAAAAATGGATACATAGGAAAAAAAAGTCAATCCAAAGTAAGTTTACCATACCATAGTGGGTAGCCAATAGCGGCCTACTCTCTCTCAATGTTTTGGCGATATATTTATGAGTAGCACTTAGAAGTTCGATTGTAAAGGAGGTTATCAATCACATCCACTAAGCGTCATGGCGTGCTTCTTATCGAAAAGATGCTAGACAAATACCTCTTACCGCTTCTCACAGGAAAAGTATATAGACCCACTCGATGGTTACCATGCAAATGATTGGCGAATTGTTCAAGTAAAGTTGACCCGCGTATAAAGAGCATAGAATTAATCGCTTCAAAATGCCATAATAACAATACGCACAGTTAAGTTTATACGAGTATAAAAAGCCCCCGTATTTTCTGTACGAGCCTCGCACTCTTTAGCAAACTCGTTCAAATGGGCGCGGGTATGGCCGTATAAGAATGACGACGCCATAATAAATACAGGGAGTAGTCTAGTTAAGAGTTTTACTCACCAGAGGCGCGCAGTCTCGCGGTTGATCTCCCTCGGGTAAAGTCGTAATGAGAAAGAGTACAGGACTGGTGACAAGTAGACTGGTCACAAGAAGCATAGCGAAGGTCAGCAGAGCTTTGTGAACAGCCTTGCTTCTTCTCAGCCAATAACAGGGCACACAGCATATCCAGGTGCCAGCCTGAATTGGCCTTTCCACGTGTACCATGGCCTCTTCCGGCATCGGGCTGTCTTCACCGGCCATACCAGAAACCGGCGGCGCGCCCGTGTGTTGACTTTGAGCCTGAGAATGGGCCCCATGAGGCCCAGGGGCCCCCGGGGCACACAGGGTACGCGGACTTAAAGGTAGTCGCACGCTTGCTTCGCCACGGGTACGACCTCCGCGTGCCCCCCGGCCAACATAACCTCGGCTCACCGTGCACAGAGCCACATTTGCGGGAGATACGCGATCTTACGGCCAATCACGTGGCCACCTTTAGGATCGGTGACGAATTACGTGGATTTATCACTCGGCAGGAGCCAAAAGTACCGTGAACAATGGCATTGTATATTTATTAGAAACTCGGCCGAATGAGATTTTCAAAACTTTAATAATACATTGACAGCTCGAATAATTTGATATGTGATTTGTGTCCGTGCTATGGAAACGCTCCCTGAGCTATTCTAGCAGTTGTAGCAGACAGTGTCGGAGACAAGTGAAACGTCGTGGAAACGTACGGATTTCTATGGACTGCCGCGACGATTGTTCCTCTGCTGGATTGTTATCTCCGATGCAAATGGAATTGGTCTGGTCGTGAGATGGATATAAATTTCATAGAGAGACAGCAGGAATGGAATGACGTTATGGATGCAGACAATCACAAACCGTGGAAGTGAATTCTACAGTGACAAAAGGTTCATTAGAAATAGATCGTCTATCGGACCTGTCAGTGGGTGACGTGTATAACGGCGCTCAAGTTCTTTGTTACCCAGGGAAAATTTCCGCGAATAATTTCGACACTGAATACTGGTAGCTATGTGAATGCCATCGAAAGTACTCGTATCACGCATAAAGATCAGGTAATTATCACCAATTTTATAAGGTCGCGTAAGTAGAGCTCGTGAATTAAATATGATGCCGGACGGTGACGTACATTGTGAAATGGTTTGGTCGATATGATAACTCCTCTCCTATATTCACAATTGATAGATCTTCTTGATCCAAGGATCAATCTAGTTGATGCACGATTCTGACTTCCTTTTAAATTCGATTTTCTTATTCACCAAGGTTCTTAACTTTCTTCCGGTTCAACCGACAGGATGAATTTACCGCTTAGTCTTGCACACTGTGTTCAGAAAAACTCCTTCGACTCAATAATATTCCATTGAAATTTTTATTATAGCCATACTCCAAACAGTTGATAATCTTTTGTTACGCACGCTAACGAATTTAATCAATTACGGAAATTGTAACTGAGATTCACGATATACTCGAGCGGAAGAGCGTCCCTGCTTCGCGGCTGAGGGTAACACGCGGACTGTGGACTGGACTCAACCACCAAAGGCGCCTTACACTTCTCTTTCTCCCACTCACTTATCCACCCGTATTCCCAGCCCTCTGCTTTTCCCTCCCCTAACCCTTTCCAAACCTCCCACAACGCGCAAACTCTCAATATTCAAACCTCCAACCTCGTGAAAATACACTGCACGCCGACGGCCACCTGAAACTTTAGCAAAGTGCATTGACAAATGCATTAGCGTCGGATGAACATTCTAAAATCTTCCCAGCGGTGCATGTATAAGTTGCTATGAATTATAGTTCAAGAAGAGATACAATTTTCGTAAGTATTTCCAAAATATTACACAGCTACATAGTTAATGATGTTATCTGATAAGGAAACAAAAAAAAAAGTTATAAGCAAACATTTCTGAGAGATACAAATATTCATTTTCTCGCTGCGCTACCGATATCAGTGATTGATAAATTTTATCCATAGGCGTAGGTATCGAATTTCGATTTATACAATATATCATGAAAAATGCTTCAGTGATTTTCTCTAGTACAACCAAGAGCCTATATTCCCATGTCAAATAAATTTTTATTAAAATGAAATCTTACAATTCTACCAGGCTCGTATTAATCAATCGGAAATATCCATTTCTTATGGGAAACTAATAGATCAGAGCTTATCAATTGAATGGCAGTATTTCCTTCGCAGATATAGGTCGGGATAATGAAACCGCTTGCCAAAGATATTTTCTGCTAGAATACACACTTTATTCGTCTTATCTTACCTTTCTCCCAATAGATATCTATATATAGATATACTTCCGTATATATTAATAAATAATCTCCATTAGATATAGTGCATATATTTATTCATGTATGTATGTCTCTCTTTATATATATATATATATTCATATTTAAATATTTATATATTATTTATACCGTCGCTAAGTATTATACCTGTCACAGCTTATGAATTCACTATTATATCTATATCGAGCAACGTAACATAGAACGTTGCGAAGAATACGTTGTGCGTCGTCCATGTCTTTTGTATTACATATATTTACGTGTAGGGTGTATCGGTTTATTTAGCAATGATTATATATCACAAAATTGCAACATTGATGATTCCGTTAAAATTTCACACTGTTTTTTCCGTATTGTCGGATCAAATAAATCAATGGATAATCGATGGCCCACCCCCTCTAGACAAAAACAGCCCTCTAGTTATTACGTAACGTTAATCCCATAAAGCTTTGGCTTTACACGAAGCAGCTCCGTTTTTCAAATTTTAATTTTTTGCCAGTGTAAAATGTCGACCGAGGCCTGCAAATTTTTGTCCGGTGAAAAACCTGAGGGGTAAATAATGCAGGATGACGGAACAACCCCTAAAATTACGTCGCGCAACTGCGACACTCTCGTTACTCAGCATTAAGGTCGATCCACACGGTGAAGGTTTTATTAGTGTAGCAGAGAGCTAACAAGCGAAAGGGGGTCGGAGAAGCGGGGGTAGTTAACGGGAGTTGGTGAATTTATACGATTGCGAATATCGTCTATGGAACACATAATCCGACATCGACGCGATTATGCAAACTCGCCCTGCTAGTCCTAAGAATCCGGCGACGTGCTTTTTGCAGGGGTGTCGATAATAATCGGTCACATAAGTAAAATCGGTGAATATGGAGGACGAGACGAATTCTGTCTGTTGTTTGTGGGCTGAGCAGCGTCGTGGAAATTTACAAAAAAAAAAAAAAAAAAAAAACAGGAAATTCCATGGAAATGTTGAGGGGTGGAAATGCTCAAAAAAAAAAAGATATATTTCTATGGTAAAGCAGCAGCGGACTGACTGAGGACGTGGATATGAGATTCGTGAAAAACTTCGTGGGATAGAGGGGGGGGGGGGGGGGGGTTTTTTT